AGCTTAGGAGCGGGTCGTGAGTGTGATGACAGCCTGATCTGCTAAGAGGGTGTGTGCACTGTGGTGTATATTGTGTGCTCCTAGATTACCCCTCGGCATGGGGGGGGGGTTGTCGTTCAGATAATAGGCAGTCGGGATCTACTCTGGGCCTCTGCCTGTCCATCAGTGGTTGTGGTCTGATGTGGGGGGGAAGTTTTTAGAGTCCCTCATAGTAATGGCGATGCATAGGGGAATGTCCCAAAAGTCTTTTGGTGGTCTTCTGGTCTGGTTCAGGTCGTGACCGCTGTGTATTGTTCCACTTGAGGCCTCCTTGGCACGAACTCTGGTGCTCTGGTTGCATCCCGCCCAAGGGGATATGTGGTTCTCGCTGGTGGTCCCGCTGGTTGAATGGAATTCAGGGGGAGGCCCAGAGTGCCTAAGACCTCTGTGGCTTCATGTATGTTGCTTACAGCGTGTGGCACGTCTCCCCTCATGATGTGTAGGACGTGAGCTGGGCCCCAGCGGTACCTGATTTGGTAGGTTCCCTCCACTGCCTGGAGACGGCCTGTCAAATTTTTCAAATCATTTCTTATCATAGCCACATCGGCCGCGATTTTCCTATGGTGCTCAGCCATGAGGTCTCTTATGGCTTCCATAGTTACCGGCTTGGGGTCGTTCACGGGTGGCTGGGTCCGTGTCTGCACCGGTTGTTTTAAGGCTGGGGCTGGGGCTGGTGCTGGGTCTCCCTCCGTGTCGTCCGAGGACCCCTCGTAAATATCCGAGCAGCCGCCGTGCAGGGACGCCATTTTGGAGCCCGCGGCTTCATGAGCCTGCCGCCAGAGGTTCCCGATATCCATGCCGGGTCGGGGCTTGTCCGGCTTTTGTTTTTTCATTTTTCTCCCCATGTGGTCCGGGGGGGTTCTGGGCTCACTTTGCGGTGGATTCCGCCGATGCCCAGGTGTGGAAAGGGTGAGTTTTGCTCTGGCTTAGTCCGGAGCTTCTCCGCCATGCGTCCGTCTGCTTCCCTGGCTTAGCTCCGCCCCCCACATACAGCCTTTTTTATTCACAATCCACAAACATAGCACCGCCCACAGGGTTTTGAAACACCGCCAATCAATCCGTACAATACACACAGACACTCCCACACAAAATCCTCCCCTCTGCCTGTGATGTGATATTACTAATTATCACAGGCAGAGAAATACAGCACCATAAAACATATCACAGGGACCCCAAAACATGCAACAACCCCACAAAAAGTACATCCTTGGAACCGGGTTATCTGGGTGAACCACATATCCAAAATTCAACCACATCCGTTCGGTACTTTGGAAGATAGTTTAATGCAGATACCACAGAACATATGCAGGCTATATGAAAATGTACAATGTGTCCCCTGTTGAATAGTCCAAAACCACTGCACGATGTCTCTGCGCACCAAATACCGGCGAGATGGCACTGTTTTGAAAAGTCCAAACAGTGTCTGTGAGTTAAAATGGTCGCCATCCATTGTTCTCACCATGTGCTTCATCCATTGTTCTCACCATGTGCCTCTGATACAGGAAATGGTGGCCACCCAGTAACTCCACAGTATGTCCCCAGATGGTTCTTAAAAGGCCAGCAGCAGCACAACACAAATCCATTATGCCCAAATCATGTCTTTAAAGGGCAATACATCCCAGGGGCCATAGTCACATGGCAGGAAGCTGGCAATCAGTCTTCTCCAATGCCCAGTGGCGAGGTCGGTTTCGCCACACCTATAATTAGTGATAGGTAAATATTGCATAGGGATCCTGTCGGATTTAACTTGGTGCCCGTCATGTTGTTAAATGGGACCATGACCCGCTGATCCGTACTGGGGAAAAGTAAAACAGTGAAGGTATTGTAACCCTGAGGTCTGTTTTTGTTCGTGCAGTGTGTACCGCGCGAACGGTGATTGATTGCCGTACGGGTGTATGCTAGTGCCCAGCGGGCAAAATGAGTTATAAATGAAACGAATGTAGTTCGTTTGTGAGTACACGAAATGATGTATGTGTGGTATAATGTAACACACAGACTCCATTCGTGCAGTTTGAAACGCACGAACAGAGTGTCATAACATAATGATACAAGTTGCTTATCCGAACAAGATTATGTGAAAGAGCCCTTGCGGGCAAGATACATAGAAATGCATGGAAATTTTTAATCGCGAGCTGTACGAACGGACAGAGGAAGTAGATTTGATAGCAAAACAAACGTGACCGTAAAGTGTGGACCTAGCTCGTGATTAATGCTGTGGGACTGTTGCCTGGCATAACGGGTAGGTCAACTTACGGTTTGTGAGTCACTAGGATGTGATCTGCAGCGATGAAGGAATCAAGAAACTGGTCGGACGGAAAAGCCTGCAGCAGAATTCTTGGACACAACTCATTGTGTAAGACCTCCTGAGAAAACCGAACTATTCCAAAATGGCGACTGGATGATCCGGAAGTGCATTCAGAAGCTGACCTCAAGTGGTATGGAGTCAGGTAAGGGGTGTACCTTATATAGGTAAGTGAATTCACTTAAGCCCCTCCCACAATTACAGGCCAAACGGCCTTAATACATATATATTTATTTATATATTACATACACACAGTGCTGTTATAGATGCATTGTAACACATATAATGGATATATACAGTACAGTTATAGATACATTGTTATAGATATTTCCTTTCCCTGCTACCCTGCTTGGCAGCATTCGTTTTTCTGTGTGTGTTCAGTAGAGTATTCGTTCTACCAAACAGACACCACCCTGGGTAGCAATTAGAACGTGGAACACCACGTTGCAACACGAAACCACAAGGTAATTGAGTGCTCCTAGGTCGCCACCATTCGGCATATGAACACGTGGGGAGAACAAAGGATGGTGGCCATCTTAAACTCCTGAACGAGGCCAGCGGGACTTGGTCGTCGAGTGCCTGGAACTGTTTTCGGCATGGCACTCGCACGAACACCCGGTCTTTATGGAAGTCCCGTCTGACCTATTTCTCCTTGCAGTAAGAGACCGGTGTTTGGGGGTTTCAGTCAACCGAACAAGGGGAGCATTATCATGTAACCAGCTGCATTCTACCTATAGTGGTTTTCGTGTAATTCTGCACGAACGGAGACTGGCTCGTACTACCAATTTCATGGAACTCTAAATCGGATACAATCGCATGGCGAGTCGGTCAAACTTCCACACGATGCGACACAGAAACTACCGAACGGATTTTCGTGAAATTTGGATATGTTACTCCGAGTATCCTCAGATACCTAGGGATGTGGTTTGTATATTGTTATATCATATAGAAAGTATCTTTCTAAAAAAGTTGAAAATTGTTAGTTTCTGGCCAGCAGATAATTGAGTTTAGTATGTTGCTGAAACTCCATTATCTAGCCTGGCCCAGAGGAGGAGCTTGTACTGTATAAATTGAATGCATGTTGCTTCCAGTAAATCAGTCTGGTTCCAGCATTAAGCTTTGGCTCATGTGTGGATTATTTGACGATACCAGAGATATTTGGTCCTGTGGATTCTAGGCGATACTCTGCTTATCTGGAAAAAGGTATTACTAGACGGTGATACAGATTACTCCCATCACAGAGGCCAAGCAAGTTATAAGAGCTTCCAAAACACACACAGAAGAGAAAATAGCACAGTCAGTAAAAAAGGGGGACAAAACATTTTTTAGATACATAAATGAGAAAAGGAAGGTAAAATAAGGATTAGTTAGATTAAAAACAAAAGAAGGAAGGTATGTAGAAGAGGAAAAAGGTCTAGCTGACTGCCTCAATTAATATTTTTGTTAAGTATTTACAGATGAAAATTAAGGAAAGGAACCTAAGTTAGGAAAAAGGACAAATGAGTAATTTATTACATGTGAGTTTACAGAGGAAGAGGTTCTATTTCAACTGTCAAAAATAAAGACAAATAAGTCAATAGGACCTTATGGAATACACCCAAAGCTATTAAGAGCTTAGTGGTGTACTAGCAAAACCATTAACAGATTTATTTAACCAATCATTGTTAACAGGAGTAGTCCCAGAAGATTGGAAGTTAGCGAATGTTGTGCCAATTTACAAGAAAGGTAATAGGGAGGAGTTGGGCAACTATAGGCCAGTAAGCCTTACTTCAGTAGTGGGGAAAGTGATGGAAACCATGTTAAAGGATAGGATTGATGAACATCTAAAAACACATGGATTTCAAGATCAGAGACAACATGGGTTTACTTCAGGGAGATCATGCCAAACAAATCTTATTGATTTTTTTGATTGGGTAACTACAATAATAGATCAGGGTGGTGCAGTAGACATTGCTTACCTAGATTTCAGTAAGGCTTTTGACACTGTTGCACATAGAAGGATTTTCAATAAACTGCAATCTTTAAGTTTGGATTCCAATATTGTTGAATGGGTTTAGGCAGTGGCTGAGTGACAGGCAACAGAGGGTTGTAGTTAATGGAATATATTCGAAGCTTGGACTTGTCACCAGTGGGGTACCTCAGGGATTTGTACTTGGACCCATTCTCTTTAATATTTTTATTAGTGATATTGCAGAAGGTCTTGATGGTAAGGTGTGTCTTTTTGCTCATGATACTAAGATATGTAACAGGGTTGATGTTCCAAGAGGTCAGAGTTGTGGCAGCTGACATTTAAACCCAAAGGCAGAGTACGGAATAACCTTAACGTCTGAGGAAAGGGATTTAGGGGTGATTATTTCTGATAACCTGAAGGTAGGCAGACAAATTTAATAGCGCACATAGTCTTAAATTAGAGGGGCAAAGGTTTAAAAATATCAGGAAGTATTCCTTGACTGAGAGGGTAGCGGATGCATGGAATAGCCTTCTAGCTGAAGTGGTAGAGGTAAACACAGTAAAGGAGTTTAATCATATGTGGGATATGCATTAGGCTATTCTAACTATGAACCAGAGTGAGTCTAGTATAGACTGGATAAGAATCCAGACCGTGCTAGTCAAATGAGTGGAGCGCTGTATGTTCACACTTACCCTCAATTAGGGTTAAATCACAGGTATATGTTTGTACATGTAAATAAAACAAAAATACAACACACTATATTGTGTTGTATTTTTGTATTTTTGTTTTATTTACATGTACAAACATATACCTGTGATTTAACCCTAATTGAGGGTAAGTGTGAACATACAGCGCTCCACTCGTTTGACTAGCACGGTCTGGATTCTTATCCAGTCTATACTAGACTCACTCTGGTTTATTTCTATATTTAGTGGGGGATAGAGAGCACCCACTAGAGTGTGTAGCTGCTTCCACATTACTTTATTATACCTATAAGCGCACTGGACACAGCAACCACTATTGTTTGTATTCTAACTATGAGATAAAGCCAGGGACTAATGAAAGTATTTTTAAAAAATGGGAAGACTAGATGGGCCGAATGGTTCTTATCTGCCGTCACCTTCTATGAATGCTGGACAGAATCCATAATAGAATATAGAACTGGCTGGGCTCTCAATGCTCTGTATACGGGCCAGATAGTCATGGCATGTCAGCCGGACAGAATCCATAATAGAATATAGAACTGGCTGGGCTCTCAATGCTCTGTATACTGGCCAGATAGTCATGGCATGTCAGCTGACAGAATCCATAATAGAATATAGAACTGGCTGGGCTCTCTGACTCTGTATACTGGCCAGATAGTCATGGCATGTCAGCTGGACAGAATCCATAATAGAATATAGAACTGGCTGGGCTATCTGCACTCTGTATACTGGCCAGATAGTCATGGCATGTCAGCCAGACAGAATCCATAATAGAATATAGAACTGGCTGGGCTCTCAATGCTCTGTATACGGGCCAGATAGTCATGGTATGTCAGCCGGACAGAATCCATAATAGAATATAGAACTGGCTGGGCTCTCAATGCTCTGTATACGGGCCAGATAGTCATGGCATGTCAGCCGGACAGAATCCGTAATAGAATATAGAACTGGCTGGGCTATCTGCACTCTGTAACAGTGGGCGGATTGATGTGTATAAAGAGTAATCTGGGCATCCAGTTCAGCGTGTGTTCCTCTCTCCCTAGGCTGTCGCCAACAAGCTGGACCTTCCGGATGATCTAGTGGGATATTTCAGCCTGTATCTCATTAAAGACAGCAGTGATAGCTCGTTCTTCTGTGAGTAATGTTAAAGTGATCTTCTGTCCCAAGATAGTGCTGGCAGAATCCCTATTTGACCTTCTTAATTTCTTTGATAGTTGTGAGAAAGTTGCAAGAATTTGAGTTGCCTTATGTGTCATTAACCAGCCTTAGGAGCAGAGAATACAAGATTATCCTTCGCAAAAGGTAAGGGCTCAGCTTTTACGGGGGTTGGTGAAGATAAAGTAAGCTTTTAGACATGGTGAGAAAGGATGTCTGTTTTTCAGTTACTGGGACACTTCCTACGATGATGATGTCATGGAGAGTAGCGTAGGACTCAACCTGTTATATGCTCAAGTAAGTTCCCTTCATGATGACTGCTCGTGTCCGAAATATTGTGTGTTTTCCCCGTTACGTCTGACAGCCTTCTCGTTTGCGTTGTAGACTGTCTGTGACATTGAGCGGGGATGGCTGCAGGTAACAAAGGACCAGCTGCGGCAGTTGAAGTCTCTGCAGGAGAAAGTTTCTAAAAAAGAGGTAAGGGTTTGGTTTTTTTTAGCTGTTTAGCCGTCGTGGGTTGTTTTCCTGATTCACAGCGCTTCTATATGTCTGTGTTCCTTTAAAAGAAAAAATATGTGCCCGTTGCAGGAGCTACAAATACATAATGTTTCTGTTAGAGAGAGATTGATAGGATTTGTACGACTCTGACAGTGTGCACAGTATACTCCTGTAATCCCAGGTCCCCCAGTCTCGGTGCTTTATTAATACATAATGTTTCTGTTAGAGAGAGATTGATAGGAATTGTACGACTCTGACCGTGTGCACAGTATACTCCTGTAATCCAGGTCCCCTAGTCTTGGTGCGTTACTAATACATAATGTTTCTGTTAGAGAGCGATTTATAGGAAATGTATGGCTCTGACAGTGTGTCCAGTATACTCCTGTAATCCCAGGTACCCCATTCTCGGTGCTTTATTAATACATAATGTTTCTGTTAGAGAGAGATTGATAGGAAATGTACGGCTCTGACAGTGTGCCCGGTATACTCCTGTAATCCCAGGTCCCCAGTCCTGGTGCGTTACTAATATATAATACTTCTGCTAAATCGCTTTGTTTATGAAGCACTAGTCATACCTTCCTTGACTGAGATCACACAAGGTAAAGTTGTTTTGGTGTTTAACGTTTACTTGGTCTATGTGTCTCAGTTTATTCAGCTGGCGCAAACCCTGAAGTATTATGGCTATTTGAAATTCGAGCCATGCATCACAGACTTCCCGGAGAAAGGCTGCGAGGTGATTGTTAGCGCTGGTAACAATGAGCTCAATTTCCAAGTCAAACTGCCCAACAACCAAATGAAAGAGGGCAGCTTCAAGGTGACGCGAATGAGATGTTGGCGTGTGACATCTTCAGTAAGTACCACAGCCTGCGCTCGTTTATACATTTTGTGCATTCTAGTCACCTGATGTTGAATATGAAGGGATACAGTTTCCCCCTTTCTGAGTACGTGCTTTCCCATTTCCTGAACGGGTACGGCTTTGATTGTGTGCAGGTTCCGTTTGCTAATGGAAGTGGAAGCCCAAACAAGACTGAAGCCCGGCTGGAATTGGCCTTTGAATATCTGATGAGCAAAGACCGTTTGCAGTGGATCACCATATCGAGCCCCCAGGTGAGACCTGCTTGTCACTTCCTCTGTGATGTCCTTGCCAATAACTGGGTAACCACAGAACTCTTCAGATAAATAGGAAACAATGTATGTCTTCATGTATCCAACACCTAAAGATTGGGCTTCCTTTAACCCCATAAGGACCAAGGCTATTTTGAGATGTGACACGTTTGCGACCTAGACCTTATTAGCACTTTTACCATGCATTGCTCATACCACAATTTCTGTTTAAATGTGTGTGTAATTTTTTTTATTTATTTTTTTTTATGAAGAAATGCAAACTTATTGTGACGGTCAGTGATCGTCTTGCATACTCTTTTCCCATAATAATAGCACGCCAATAATCCACAGGTTCCAATATCGCTGGTGTCTCATAATAACCCACACATGAGCCAAGGCTTAATGCTGGGACAAGACTGGTTTAATGGCAAACAGGCATTCAATTTATACAGTCTACAAACTCCTCCTCCGAGCCAGAGAGATAATGGAGTCCGAGAAAATACTAAACTCCGTTATCTTCTGGTCAGAAAAAGTAACATTTTACACAACACCCTGAAATACCCCCAAAATACATGGGAACCTCACATCCCTGGGTAGTCTGTCTCTGTGGGAACAACATATTAAGAAATCAGCCAGATCTGTTCGGTTGCACCGCAGGGAGAGTTGACCGGTTGAAGCTGAGAAACCGTTCCATGAGAAATGTAACAAGAGCCGGTCTCCGTTCGTGGTGTTTTGTACGAAAACCACAGTAGATAAAGTAAATCTGGTTTGTAGAGAATGCTCCCTGTGTTCGGTATTCTGAAACTCCCGAACGCCGTTCGTCTGAGTGGATGGGAAGAGGAACGTAGAGGGGATCCGTAAAGAACGGTGTTCGTACGAGTGGGTTGCCTAAACAGTTCCAGGCACTCGACGACCAAGTCCCGCAGGCAGCGTTCGGGAGACAAGATGGCCGCCACCCATTGTTCCAACCACGTGTATTCGTATGCACAAAATGGCGGCCACCCGGGAGCACTCCTTTAGTCTGCGTTTTTTGTACAAGATACACATAGTTCTAAGTTCTAATTAGTCTCTGGGGTGGTCCCGGTTCGGGACCCGAACAAAATAACGAATGAACCAGCAAAATAACGAATGAACTGGGACAGGATAATAGTAGTGAATGCAAATAGCCTTCACACTTCTCTTTTATACCCTACATGTATACATAGCAGAATATTAAATCGTAATAAAATCTGTTATACAATTAAAAAAGGCCATAAACCAAGTGAAATTAAAAAAACTAACTAAATATATATACTAGTTAGTTATACCTGATTTTTAAAATGCCCAATATGTCCAAGATTTTAAAAACTTGTTTTTAAATTAAAAAACAAATATTGCAAGAAGTAAATTATGGTTTTAAAGCTAACACTCTGCAAAATATGGCAAGCTAAGATTACAACATTTCTAGTGCTCACAGAATTCAAAACTACTACACAAAGTATATATTTGTAGAAAGTAAATCCGGAGGACAAAATAGTTAATTCCATGTGTGTTTTTATGCTGGTGAAATTAACAGACCACACATGTCACACTAATGTAAATACCCATGTTTGTATTCTGCTACCTCTTTCGAGTATACCTTTTCCTCTAATCCAACCCTTAATGAGATTGCTGATGTCTGCAGAGGGAATCAAAGGGATTTTCTAGCTCATGCAGTACAGGGGGCTCTGTGAGCACTGCCTCATCTGCCAGCATTGGGCCTGTAAAGTGGTCCTACTGGGGTTCCTCAGGTCTTCATTGGCACCTGGAGCTGCTTGGTACCAGCAGAGATGTAACTGCTGGTATTGTCTATGCTGACAATGGGTGTTAAAGCACTGCACTGCATGACGGCTAGGCCATCATCTGGTCCTTAAAGGGTTACTCCAATCACCATGACCACGTCAGAGATTTGAAGTGGGGATGGAGGTAGGAGTCACTGTGTGCAGTGTTTCTGCTTGAAACCCTGCACATACAGATGTATTAAGTGTGGGTGGGGAGGCTAGCACCCCCAGCACACGTGGCAATGTTAGTCTGGAAATGTCTAATGTCAATTCTGTGCATAAATTTTGTCCGTTACACAGGGCATACTGATAACAGAAGTGAAAAACCTCCCCTTGCAGGCGCCCTACCTCCCACTGTCACGATTACAAGTTGATCCAGCACGTATTACTGTGTCACACCTAGGACTAAGGAGAACGTAAAACCGGACCTTAGAATGGCTGGATTTAACATCTCCAAGAATAGTCAAAATACTTGCTGAGGTCAGGGACACAGAATCAGGAATAAAGATGAGGGAAAGCCAAAAGTCAAGGATACCAGATATAAAGGAAGTGAAAA